TGAGAACTTGGTAGCTGTGCAGAAGGCAACTGACCACTACAGTCAGCAGATGGCCCAGCGTGTGAGGTTTCCCACAGAGACGCTTCAGGAGCTGCTGGATATCCATGCAACCTGTGAAAAAGAATCCATTGCAATCTTCCTGGAGCACTCATTCAAGGATGAAAATCATGAGTTCCACAAAAAACTTATGGTACATCCCTTAGCATTTATTCTTCCTGATTCCTGCTCTGGAATGATGCCTAGGGTCCTCCTTATGACCTCATATTTCATATCTTTCATATATTAGACTAGCCTGGATTGCATGCAGTGAGTATCAGACCTTTACAGAGATGTCTGTAGTTTATCTCTGCTCAGGGTCTCACATACTAAAGTCAAGATGTTCACGAGTCCTAGTAGTAAGCTGGAAAGTCTAGGGTATGCCACTCTACCTTCCCTTCAAGCCAACCAATGTTTCATCAAATCCTTCTCTTGTTTCTAGCCTCTCTGACTTCCTTTTATATCAACAACTGGAAAACTTTACTTAAAAAGAGATCATGTAACTAGGGTAACTAGGTAATGTCCCATATCATACTCTTCATTTCTTAAGAGTAAACTAGTGCCATATAGCACAACCCATCCTGGAAATAAACTCTGTTATATTCAAGGTCTGAAGGAATACAAAAGATATGAACACCAGTTATGTTGGGGAACATCTTCATTCTGCTTACACATGACTTTCACTAAAAACTTGTTTCAGTCTGTCTTTTGACTACAAGTACAAAAATCTTAATTTACATTCAGTAAAACTATTTTGATTGTAATTTATATGGGCTATCAAAAAAGTCTTTGCTATATCTTCTAATACTCAACTCCTAATTAAGAGAATACATGAAGGCTTCTGAAGTATACTCAGAGTACATTTAAGTCATTACTATATGGATTATTTTTTTAGGTTTACATTTTCATCCATAGCACCCTAGGTTCTCTGAGAAAACTTTCCTTTCAACCAAATTAACTTTTCATCCATAGCATCCTAGGTTCTCTGAGAAAACTTTCCTTTCAACCAAATTACAATTAATATTCATTGTAATATGTGGATCACTTTTAAACTCACTATGCCATAAAAGCAACCATAAAATTTCTGCCATACCCTTTCCCCATTGTTTTATATAGTTGAAGTTGACTTGTGTCTAATGTTAAAGTCTCCAGACTCCTTTCTAAGGCTGTCAGTCTACTTATTTTGAAAGGATTACAGTTGGACATTCCCTTCTAAGATCTTCTTTCTATTGTGTGTCTCTACATTTATCTGCAGCAATCCATAGAAAAAATGAAAGATGACTTTGTACTGCAGAATGAAGAGGCTTCTGTGAAATACTGTCAAGCTGAGCTGCAGCAGTTGTCAAAAGTCCTGATACAAAGCATTTCGGGAGGAATTTTCTCTGTTCCATGTGGACATACTCTCTATTTAAAAGCAAGGAAAAAGGTTGAAGAAGACTATGCACGAGTGCCCAGGAAAGGAGTTAAGGTGAGGAATATGGGAAGTGGAGCAGCTGGTGGGTTTGAAGCATTGACCTTGTAGTTAATAGCTCAGTACTTTTCATGAAACTCCAAACCAGGACTAGTGCCAGTCATATTGAGAACACAGGGATTTTTTTTTTTGCATACTCTGTTTTATATTCAGAATTATCTAGATGCTCTAAACGAAACCACACATATATATTTCCAAAGAAAGGAATTAGAACTAATAATGAGGTAATATGAAATATTTATTTCATTTTTCAAACAATGTGATCATATTGTACAAAGTGCCAAAAATCTAACCAACTTTCCTTGAGTTGAATCAGTTCGTGGTAATCCCATGTATGTCAAAGAAGAAGTTCTACATAGGGTTTTCAAATGAATGTGATTTTTCAGAAGATCTTTCAGACCTTTCTTTCAAGGCATCTTTGGTTGGATTGGAATATTCAACCTTATTGCTCTTTGCTTAGCAATCATATGTTTAACTGTTTATGTCACCAGAGTATTATGTATTGGGTATGTTGCTGTTACTAAGTCCAACGAGTTGATTCTGGCTCATAGCAAGTCTATAGAGGGTTTCCAAAGAGTGACTGGTGAACTTGAACCACCATCCTTGTGGTTCAAACTGATTTTAACCCACAGCACCACACCAGGACTCCATGTATTAAGTAAAGCCAATATTATATTAAAGAAACAACCTTTGTTCTCAAGAAGCTCATGATCATTTTGAATTCAGAAACAGTCATTTGGATATGGTGTGATGAGGATCATTATAATGTTGTTCACAGCTGCTAACAAGAATGATGGAGATGATAATTATAATGATTAGGATATATTGAGCTCTCACTTCTTCATCCAGGAATAGTCTTGTTGAATTATAATACAGTTCTCAGAATACTAGTATTCTTAGAAGATAGAGTTAGTTATTTAAGTGCCATCAAGTTGGTTTTGACTCATAGTGACAACGTAAAGAGTGGCTGGTAGGTTTGAACCACCACATTGCTTCAAACTGACCTTCAGGTCTAGGGCTTATCCTACAGTGTCACACCAGGTTATGAATTGGGCTGTGAACTGCTAGGTCAGCAGTTCAAAACTACCAGCTGTTCTGCGGGAGAAAGATGAGGCTTTCTGTTCCTGTAAAGATTTGCAGCCTCAGAAACCCTGGGCAGGGTCACTATGAGTTGGAACCAACTCCATGGTACTTAACAAC